ACCGCCTCCAACGCCGTCCATCGCCGGCACCCGGAGCCGCTCCACTCCCGGAGGAAGGTCCAGGACCCGCCCATCATCCACGAGCTCAGGGTGTCCCTGGAAGAGATCTACCACGGCTCTACCAAAAGGATGAAAATCACCCGCCGGCGCCTGAACCCGGACGGGCGAAGCACCCGGACCGAGGACAAGATACTGAACATTGTCATTAAACGGGGCTGGAAGGAAGGGACCAAGATCACCTTCCCCAAAGAAGGCGACGCCACGCCCGACCCATCATCCACGAGCTCAGGGTGTCCCTGGAAGAGATCTACCACGGCTCTACCAAAAGGATGAAAATCACCCGCCGGCGCCTGAACCCGGACGGGCGAAGCACCCGGACCGAGGACAAGATACTGAACATTGTCATTAAACGGGGCTGGAAGGAAGGGACCAAGATCACCTTCCCCAAAGAAGGCGACGCCACGCCCGACAACATCCCCGCCGACACGCGCATTTCAAGCGGGACGGCACCAACGTGGTCTACACGGCCATGATCAGTCTGAAAGAGGTGGGTCGGGGGGCAGAGGCCGTGGGGGGAGCTTGTAGGGGTTCGGTGGTTGCCTCCTAGGTCGTAGGTTGGTGTCCAATCACCGGAGCGTGTCACTGTGACACCCGAGTTCTGCACTCAGAAGCTGGGCTGGGGAGCGGGGTCTCTGTGAGGTGGCAGGTTTGTGGGCGCAGCTGTCTCTCAACGCTTTGCATGGCACCCTGGTCCTCACTGTGCCGTGCTTGAGCTGAGCTAGCTGTTCTCAGCTGGTCTCTCCCTCCCAGGCTGTGCAGGCATGACGAGAGCCCAGCAACATGCAGATACCCGCTTTATGTCCACGGGTATCTGCATCCGCGGATGGATGGGGATATCCACAGCTCATTCGTATATCCGCGGATGGATGGGTGGGGATATCCGCAGCTCGTTTTTGCAGCTGTGGACGGGGATATCCGTGGCTCATTCATGTATCCGTGGATGGATGGGGATATCCGCAGCTCATTCTTATATCCGTGGATGGGTGGGGATATCCGCAGTTCATTCTTATATCCGTGGATGGATGGGGATATTCGCAGCTCATTCTTATATCCGTGGATGGGTGGGGATATCCGCAGTTCATTCTTATATCCGTGGATGGATGGGTGGGGATATCCGCAGCTCGTTTTTGCAGCTGTGGATGGGGATATCCGTGGCTCATTCGTATATCCGTGGATGGACGGGGATGTCTGCGGCTAATTCTTATATCCACGGGTATTTGCATCCGTGGATGGGTGGGGATATCCGTGGCTCGTTTTTGTGGCTGTGGATGGGGATATCCATGGCTCGTTTTTGCGGCTCTGCATGCGGATGTGGATACAAATTTTGTATCCTCGCGGGATGGGGATATCCGTGGCTCATTCGTATATCCGTGGATGGACGGGGATGTCTGCGGCTAATTCTTATATCCACGGGTATTTGCATCCGTGGATGGGTGGGGATATCCGTGGCTCGTTTTTGTGGCTGTGGATGGGGATATCCATGGCTCGTTTTTGCGGCTCTGCATGCGGATGTGGATACAAATTTTGTATCCTCGCGGGGCTCTACGCATAAAGCTAGTTTTGTGCTTTGGAAACAAATGAGTCCTGGTCTCTGGCCCGTGAAGTTTGCAGGGGAACTGTAGTGGGGGCTCTGAGTCCGAGCGAGGAGCGTTCAGCAG